GAGCACTTCTCTCGGGGCGCCTGGGTGGCGCAGTCGGTTAAGCGTCCGACTTCAGCCAGGTCACGATCTCGCGGTCCGTGAGTTCGAGCCCCGCGTCGGGCTCTGGGCTGATGGCTCAGAGCCTGGAGCCTGTTTCCGATTCTGTGTCTCCCTCTCTCTCTGCCCCTCCCCCGTTCATGCTCTGTCTCTCTCTGTCCCAAAAATAAATAAACGTTGAAAAAAATTAAAAAAAAAAAAAGAAGAGCACTTCTCTCATACAAGTGTTGAACGCAAGGAAAAAAGCAAAAAAGTGAAAGGATCTTTGAATGTGGTTAAAACAGGTCATTGGTGATGTTAGAAAGTACAGTTTAAGTGGCTAAGAAGAAAAAAAAAAGACTGGATATATAAGAAATGAAATATTCAAAATATTCATTTAAAAAATTTGGCAGGAAAAGAAAAAAGAAATGGATAAAAGAAAAAATATCACAAAGACACTGCTATTTTTTTTTAAACACAGAGTAGCGGACCAAGTTAAAAGGCAAAAGAAAGCAAGTTGAAAGAAAAAACCAGAGGTTTAAAAAGAGTACATATAAGAATCGTGACCTATGCTCAGAGGACAGAGAAGACTGGGAGAAAGGCTGGAATGAGATTGAAGGATATAACACAGTTGTAGAAACAGGTATTTTATTTATTTATTAAAAAAAATTTTTTTTTTGAATTTAAAAAAGTTTTAAAAGTTTGTTTATTTATTTAGAACACAAGCAGGGGAGGGGCAGAGAAAGATAATTTCAAGCAGGCTCCGAGCTGTCAGCACAGAGCTCAATGCAGGGCTTGAACCACGAACCACAAAATGAACCATCTGAACTGAAATCAAGAGTCAGATGATTAACCAACTGAGCCACCCAGGGGCTTAAACTGTCTTAAAGTGAGCATAGCCTGCTTTCCATTTCAGGCATTAGAATTTTCATTCTTTGTTTCCTAAACTAGAAATCTTAAAAACACAAAAAACAAAACCAAATAAACAAAAGATCTTTTGGCACATTTCTTCTATCCAGCTGTTATTAATGTGTAATCAACTACTATCATTTCTTCTTTCTACATATTTTTCAAATCAGCTCTTCCTCTCTTCCCACTGCAACTACTCTCCTAATATAAGCCTTCATCAACTCCCAACCAAATTATTGAAAAGCTCCTAAGAAGTTTCTTTTTTTTTAAATTTGTGTTGTTTTAAATGTTTATGTATTTTTGAGAGAGAGAGAGAGAGAGAGAGTACACGTGCATGAGTGGGGCAGGGGCACAGACAGAGGGAGCAGAAGATCCAAAGCCAGTTATGCGCTGAGAGCGGAGAGCCCAATGCAGGGCTCGAACTCACAAACCATGAGATCATGATCTGAGTCCAAGTCGGAGCTTAACCAACTGAGCCACCCAGGCCCCAAGTCCTAAGAAGTTTCTAATTCTGGTGTCTCCATCATCTAATTTGAAAAAACACATCCAGCCTTCTCTCAAAGAATCTCTGTGAAGCTATCTGACCCTTTCCCCGACCAGATTCACTCCCTCCTCCATGCCACTACTGCTCCTACAAAATGGGTTGGCAAACTGGCTCAGTGGCCAACTCTGGCTCTTCCTATTTCTATAAATAAAGCTTAATTGAAAAACAAATAAATAAAAAGGAAAAGCTGTTTCCATTTGACTGTACACATTTTCTATGGCTACTTTCATGCTACAACAGAAATGAATAGTTGCAACAGAGACCGTGTGCTCAACCCACAAAGCCTAAAATATGTACTAAGTGGCTTTTTATAGAAAAAGTTTGCCAAGTTCTGTACTCTGCCATCATACTTATATTTTACTTTACTTGTTCATTTACAGTAACAGAAGTTGATATCAGGTATCTACTGAGATAAGCACTGTTCCAAGCAATTACCCATATTATCTCATTTACTCTTTACAACATTCCTAAAGGGGCAGATATTTCTATTTCCATTGTACAAATGAGGAAACCGAGGACTTTCATTCCAGACCTCATGTTTTTAACTACAGCACTAATACTGACTACACTATCTTTCTTGAGCTTATTAAGAACAAAGATTATACCTAAATCATCTTATTCCCAGAGTCTAGCATAGTGTTTAACATAGTATGCATTCTGTAATTGCTTGCTAAATATATCTTACTAAAATATCCACTTTCACCCTGACCTTCTCCCTGCTCAAAACCCTTCAATGCCTCCATTATTTGCTTACTGCATCAGGTCTAAATTCTAAACTCCTCTGAGCGGCTTTAAGTCTGATGGACATAATCCAGGGCAACCGTACCTAGCAAAGTTTAAAAGCTTAATAATGTCCAACTTCTAGGAATTTTATGGTTTCAGGTCTCACATTAGGTCTTTCACCCATTTTGAATTTATTTTTGTGTATGGTGTAAGAAAGTGGTCCAGTTTCATTCTTTTGCCTATTACAAAAAGTCCAGTTTTCCCAACACCATTTGTTAAAGAGACTGTCTGTTCTCCATTGTATATTCTTGCCTCCTTTGTCATAGATTAATTGACCACATATGTGTGGGTTTATTTTTGGACTATCGATGTGTCTATTTTTGTCCTAGTACCATCTTGTTTTGATTGTGAAATCTGGGATTATGCTACCTACAACTTTGTTCTTCCTTCTCAAGACTGCTTTGGTTATTCAGAACTTTTGTGATTCCACTCAAATTTTAGGATTATTTGATCTACTTCTGTGAAAACTGATGTTGGTATTTTAACAAAGATTGCATTAAATCTGTAGATTGTTTTGGGTAGTATGCACATTTTAATAATATTGGTTCTTCCAAAACTTAATCATGGAATATTTTTCCATTTGTTATGTCCTCTTTATTTCATCAATGTTATATAGTTTTCAGAATATAGGTCTTTTGCCTCTTTGATTTATTCTTAGGTATTTAATTATTTTTGGTGCAGTTGTAAATGCGATTTTTTTTAAATTTCTCTTTCTGCTACTTCATTATTAAGGTAAAGAAATGCAATAGATTTCTGTGTATTAATTTTCTATCCTGTGACTTTACTGAATTCATTTATCAGTTCTTACAGTTTTCTGGTGGAGTCTTTAGGGTTTTCTCTATATACCATCATGTCATCTACACATAGTGTTAAGTTTTATTCTTCAGTACCAATTTGGATGTTTTGAACATAGGCCAGAGAAACATTTTTCTAGATCTGTCTCCTCAGGCAAGGGAAACAAAAGCAAAATTAAACTATTGGGACTACACCAAAATAAAAAGCTTTTGCACAGTGAAGGAAACTGTCAATAAGCAACAAGGCAACCTACTGAGTGGGAGAAGATATTTGCAAATGATATATCCAATAAGGAGTTAGTATCTAAAATATATCAAGAACTTACACAAGTCAATACCAGAAAAACAAATAATCCAATTAAAAAATGAACAGAGGACCTGATTAGACATTTTCCTAAAGAAGATACATAGATGGCCAACAGACACATGAAAAGATGCTCAACATCACTAATCATCAGGGAAATACAAATCAAAACCATGAGATATCACTACATGCCTGTCAGAATGACTAAAATAAAAAAGGCACAAAATAACAAATGTTGGTGTAGATGTAGAGAAAAAGGAACCTTAGTGCATTATTGGTGGGAATGCAAACTGGTGCAGCTACTGTGGAAAATGGTATGGAGGTTCCCCACAAAATGTAAAACAGAATTACTATATGATCCAGTAATCCCACTAGTGGGTATTTACCAAAAGAAAATGAAAACACGAGTTTGAAAAGATACATGCACCCTTATGTTTACTGCAGCGTTATTTACAATAGTTAAGATATGGAAGCAACCCAAACGTCCACCCATATATGAATGGATAAACAAGATGCGGTATATAGGGGCGCCTGGGTGGCTCAGTCGGTTAAGTGTCTGACTTTGGCTCAGGTCATGATCTCATGGTTCATGGGTTCAATGCCCAAGTTGGACTCTGTGCTGACAGCTCCAAGCCTGGAGCATGCTTCGGATTCTGTTGTCTCCCTCTCTTTCTCTCTGTCCCTTCCCTGCTCATGCTCCGTCTCTCTCTCTCTCTCTCTC